ATAACAACTTGACAAACATGATGCGATGTGCAGTAATTTCATTAGTAGAATACATGCTGATTGTGTTATGATTATAAATTGTTTTCAGCTAATATAGCATTTTGAATAAAATAAAAGTTAACACAGTGATCTAAATATATTATGTGACTGGCACCCTAAATACTTTGTTATGTCTGAATATTGTCCCTGCATGCAAAAAAATAAATAATTTTTGGGCTCTGCAATAGTCTGTTTTGCAGTCAATATATTGTATGTGTGGCAAGGTATAGACTATAGCCAAGGTTCTGATCGAGACAACAGAAATAAATGAGAAAAATGTCCTTATGCCTTAGAGAAGGAGTTTGTACTTGTATTTCCTCCTATCAACAAATGCAAAGTACTGGTGTCATCAGAAGGTCTTGTGATAGGGCCCCTGGAGAAGCTCTTGATATCATCATTCACACCACAATACTCTGGACAATATACTTCATAACATCTCCCTGGGAAGTACAAAGGATGGGGTTCACTAAAGCAAGCCCTTCTGCTAAAGTTGAAAAAGTTTCAAAAAAGGTAAAATATAATCACAAGTTAAAAAAAACATTTTCAAGTGTACCATTTAGTTCCAATTGGCTTTTTGATGTGCGCAAGTGAACCAGACATGACTTACAATTAACAGAATTGATAACGAACAAGCATTACATGATTTATTTATCATGTGGCATAACTGGGGCCCAGATCTTTATCTTGGCAATTACTGTAATTGTGTTCTTGGGCAAGACATTTTACCCACCATAACTGAGTGAATGAGAAGTGTGTGACGTATGGGTGGTGGTCAAAGGTCCTCATTTAAACAGTTGACAGTTTATACGTTTTCACAACATTCTGAGGCCAGAGTTGAGGTTTGACATCACGGTAATGCTAAAAACTAGCATGCTAACAGAGCACTTCTTGGTTCACAGATAATGAAAGACATAATGGCTCATACCTATATCTGTACTGGGACAAAACAAACTCATTGTTAATTAATTAAATAACAACTTAATTACAAGAGAAAAAAAAAGGTACAGCCCCTTTAAAATGACTGCAGAATCTTTCAATTCCTCGATTAATGATGGTTCTGTTTCTTCATCAAATTGTGGAATTTTCACATGAGGAAAATTCCACAAATTGGTCCTGATTTGGAAAGGGGCAGCCTCTCTATAAAAGCATTTAATATCCAACAAAACTAAAATAAAAAAAGCTATTTCTCCATCAAAGAGGAATAGCGAAAGTCTGACATTGAATGAGCACCTGAAAAACTGAACAAACAAGCGGTGAACACTGTAATATTAAAGCTGCATTGTGTAACTTTTCCTGTGGGGTCTGTCAAATGCTTTTCTCTATGGAGATGTTATTGCTTTCTCTGAAATGTTTCACAATATGGTATGTGACCTTTCTATCTTCATTAGACCAAACCAAGTTATAGGTCAGGTCTGTGGAGAGGCAACTCCACTCACAGTCAGAAAGGCCATTTTTCTAGGTATTTTTAAGCCATAAAACCACCTGTAATTTAATAAATGTAGGGTAGAACTGTTAAATATCATACTGTGGAGCATTCCAGGTATAGCAATGATGTATCCATAGAAACAAGCAGGTGAGAGACCCCCAACCAAAAAGTTTACAAAGTGCACCTTCAACATTTATTAAAAATATTCTTGCATGGTAAAGTATTGTTAGAAACAAACTGCCTATAACCAACCCAAGATCGATAAAGACACTCTACATTCTTTCACCATCTATTTTCTGTCACAGCCTCAAACACAGCCATTCAAAAATGAAACATTAGCGATAGCATGACAGAATACCTCATTATGGCATTGATTTTCCGAGAAACTTCAGAGGGCAAATTGTCATGTTAGCGTAATAAATAGTTGTCCCTGGCCTGACTTCCTGCAGGACACATGTCAGAAAATACCTAATCGGCAGCTGTCGGCAGAGTCAATGATCAGAAGTGAGATGAGATAATCTGCAGACATTACTCACGTGTACACGGCAGCAGGCTCATAAATAACACAGAGCATCACAGTCAGGGCACAGTCATTTGTCAACAACACAAGCCGCTTTGTTTTGATTTACATCTGACTGACATTTGAGACGCTTCAGTGGTGCTCCAGTCTCCTGACATCTTCATAACATTGTGTTTACAGCCAAGGTTACGCAGTCTGGGATATGTTTAAAATCTCTAATGTTGTAGAAGGTAGTGATACTTTGCAGCTTTGTCATCAATATTTCCTGGGGGTGTGATGCTAACTAAAGGCACTACTCTGTTAATATTTTAATCTATGCTTATTTAAACAGAACCTGACCACAAAGAACTGACTTTGAGCTGGATAACATTTTTCAGTTACTCTCACACTACTTTTGCTGAAAATAAAACTCCTAAATAGAGCAATTTTTTACAACAATTTTGTGTTTTTTTCTTGAGTTTTCATACAATCTTAAAACTTTTTGATAGCGTTTGCAATGTGTACATTTTGTCACCATGGTAACTCCTAAACATTCCACCATAAGAGATACATGTAGAACACCCCCAGCATGATGTCACCGCAAAGCATCAATTAACAGAAAGGTATAGATCAATAAAACTAACCCCAACTGTTTGATAATTGAGATTTATAGTCACTGATAACCCTGTACTGAAGTGAATTGCTATAAAAATCAACTGTACAAATCAACTGCTAACTATAACCATATTGACAAAGTAATGTGTCCTGCATTGCTTCTCTAATTTACACCTCCATTAAGAAAGAACTACAAGCTTGTAACATTTAGCATTTATTTTACGTAGCTCTAATTCATAAACTGATTATCTACATATTTATTACCATTAAAATTTGTCAGATGCAATTTGCCGAGACCACTTACTTACTGCTTATCTGGGCAAAAATGTTTTTAAATGGCAGTATTTCTCACTGTTACCCAAATGTAACAGCTGTTATTAAATTATGCAGAGAATAATTTGATATTCATTTTACAAAACAAGCACCCAATAAATCTTAATTATAACTCTAAATGTGAATGCAGTGTCCCATTTGCAATAAAACAGACTATTGTTGTTAATTGTGCTGATTTTTTGACTATATAGAGAAAAATGGCTAGGACATTTAGCACATTATGAAACTGCCAAAGCAAAAAAAAAAAATCGAGCTTATTATATTATTATTACCATTGTAAGTATGAGCATTTCACTATGTTCACTATCCAGTATCTGAGAAGGAAATGCACCTACTTTTCAAAACTCCTAGAAGATCAAGTTAAATTTAATTCAGGATGAGATGATTTTTGGCGAACTAGAGCGGGCATATTCTGTCATAGATCTATCCAGAGTGAGAAGTTCTGTTTCTGAATATTCTTTCCAAGCAAAAGCACAAGACAGACAGACAGAAAGGCAAGAGTAAAAATGGCATCTCCCCAGCTCTCACAGGCAAATGTTGGCAGATTTACATGACTGCTTCGGCATGACAGACTTGAAGATTTTGAAGGCTAATCTTGAATATTTAACACCGTCCAAAAAACTAGTAAAAATAAATGTAACAAATTGAAATAAATTCTTTCAACAAAAATTGTATGTTGTTTCTCAAGACAAAGTTTTACGTAGAAAATCTTAAAAGACTGAAATAGAGCCCATGGCAGCCTTGTTCCGCCAGACTTCCTATGAGTCACAGTGGATATTTTGTGTTCATGTCTAACAGAACCTAGAATAATGGTGCGGAGTTATTTCTGACACATGAAAATTAATCAGACAATGTGTACTCTTGACATACTATCATTAGAGGGTTCTATTTTTTTATTGTTAAAAAATGCTCTGAAATTTGAATGAATAATGACCTAACTGTGCAGAAATGATCTAACCAGTAGGAATGTTTAAAAATGGATATTCGAAAGGCTTTGTCTTCTTTTGACTTTTTTTCGTTTTACTTTGCCTTACTGTTAGTGAAGTCATTAATCTCATTCAAAAAAATGACTTCTAGTTGATATGCATAATAGCACAGGTAATGTGAATGCTTAAGTAAATAGAACAAGTCTGGCCAAAGTGTATGGAGTTTAAAAACACAAGGGGACATATATCCTGGATATCCACCTTTTTATGTCACAAGGTGAAACTGTGTTTTGAGGGAGACTGAAAATGATTCTGATGAGAAAGCCTTCAAGCTTTTCAAAGAACAAATATTATGCATTATTTATTCATGAGTACCTTGACATTTCATGGTTTAAAACTTAAAGTAATGTTTATCTTCAGACAATAGAGACCTTGTTCCTATACATACGCTCCCTCTCTGAGAAATAGAGAGGGAGCGTATCTCACAATACGATATTGTCCTATCATGAGATTTGGATATCGTTACACCCCTAGTAATATTATTGTGATATCATGGGAAAGCTCACAATATGGTGGGGAGGCTCAAGATTAGGGATGTAACAATAAATCTCTCAATACGATATTTTCACGATATACATGTCACGGCATGATATTTATTGAGATACTTTGTGGAGGCTAACAAAACTGTTAATATGATACTTTTTCTTCTTAAAATGCCTTGACAAGACTTAATAAAAAAAACTAAGACTTAAAAGTGCTTAGAACTGTTATTTCTTCATGTAGTCTAAACTGAAATGGAGCAAAGGATCATGGTCTATGTAGTTCTCTGTATCTTTTTTTTCAGCATTTGCTGCACCGCAAAGAGACTTGTAATTCGATATATTGTGATGGTCCACGATATTATTGTGAGAACTTTGACGATACAATATCACAATATTTTGGTTATTGTTACATCCCTAGGAATTACTATTGAAGAAATAAACAATCAGAGTTAGCAATTTTCCCCAACATGCTAACAGAAGGATAATTTGAGACTTAAAAGCACAAAAAATGTCTGTACCTTTACCTGTAACATTACAATCCTGGGAAGCGAAGTGTTAAGAGGGAACTTTTGAGCTGGCCATGCTGGCAAAGACAGTTAAACAACAAAACATGACAATACCTCATTCCTTCTGTGGACTTGTTCTGGTAGTTGCAGTAGAGTTGAGGTGTCCCCAACATGGCCTCTGTGAAGACAGCCAAAAAGCCCAGCGACTCCACATAGAGCGCAGAATCTAACAGCACATAGGTGATGTACGCCGCCACCAGAGTGAAGGCCAGAACGCACTGCACGTAGTCCACAAAGCGAGTCCACAGCCAGAAGTAGTTCCAGTCGAAGTCTACAGCACACAAAAACACATACTAAATCAGAAAGGAAATGTAGTGCTAATTTGGGAAGCGATCAAATTTATGGTGATATGGGGGACTTTGTGATAGGGTTGGGTGGTTAATCAAATTTAAATTGAGATTGAAATTTAGTCATTTTTATTTGTTAATGATCAGCTTGGGTCTATTTAATTAAGTGGTCTACAGGCAATCCTCAGTCAATAAAATAATGTGGTTTGGAGCAGAGCTGGAGCAATTTAACTGTTTTTGTGTTAATTGCCAATTATCAAAATTTGTCTTGTAAATGTTAGGTAATTAATTTTGCCTAATAAGACATAAATTAAAAAAATATATATCAGTGCTCAACATGAGGTAAAAAGAAAGTGATACAATTTTTGGTCATATCCCCAATCCCGAATTCAGTGGATTGTTAAATTTCCAGGTGAACTTTTGCAAGTCTCATTAGTTGCTTGTTTTTAATTTTCTGATTAGTTCTTGCAACACCCCTTGACTTTAGTCTTGCAGCTTGTGATGATTTTGATTATGTAATGAGGGAAACTTGGCAATCAGCAATATTCTGTAATACATAAGTGCTTTTACATGTCAGATAAGGCTTTGATGCCAGTAAAAAAAAAAAAAAAAACTTATAAAGGTGCAATTTCTCATGAATAATTGGATGTTGCTAGCTGCTTGCAAAATTTCTTTATTTAGATTTGCAACTGAAGACCAGTCATGGGTATGGGAGCAAGTTTTTGAACTCAAGTGAGATAAAGAGGGAAAAGAACATTATATGTCAGTTAACAGCATCTATAGTAAAAAGGTTGACTTGCTGGCTTCTTGTAGTGTAAACCAAGAACTATTGATTAATTTCTAAATATTGGACAGTACTGTATGTTACAGAGCTGGTTTTAGACATAACTTGATACTTGGTTAGGGGAGCTAATGAAGGTGTCTGAGAAGAAGCACTGAGCTGCCCCACTGACTCTGGACAGGCTGTATATAGATTGTTTGAGCGCATACCGATATCAGACATCTGTCTTGCTGCTGTGGCAGATAAACAATATTTGCTGATACCAATACTAAGATTTTAAAATGTCATGTTTCAAGGCCCACAGGTTTGTAGTAACGTACATAAATGAACTTTTTTCACCTTTGCAAAAATCATAACAAAATGTATTTATCTGATATGTAAAATAGTTTGTATGATTCTCTAAACATACAGCCATATTTTTAACATTATTGCTCTTTTGTTTCCAATTATACTCATTAGTCTGTTCAAACAGACATAGACATATGTAATGCACCAAGGACAAACTGGGAATTACACATGGGCACACAGAGACTGGAGCAGCTTAGAAAAATTATATACATTTTTGTTTCTTACACTGCTCCTTATATGATTTAAATTGTCTCAGTTTTGTGTCTATCCTTTACCAATTTCTGTAAAAACCCTCTAATATCATTACAGGAACCGATCAGTGGTGGAACTGTACTTTAAATATACATTTTTGGTATCTGTACATTTTAGCACATTTTAAAGTGGATACTTTTTACTTTTATCTCACTACATTTAGCACTGGTGCTACAACCTGGTACAATGCATCTGTCCTGTTAAAGTTATTGTAAAAATGATGCGCTGTCCTCATCTCATTAAATAAAATAAATAAATAAAACATTTGAGAGCAGGTATCTGTACTTTCTACTCCACTACATTTTTAAAGTATTTTTTAATATAGATTGAGACCTGCTGAAAAGGGTGAAAGGTTATTTTTAAAACATTCATAGTTTAAGCAAACAAAAATATACAAATAAAAACAGCAGGAAAAATTTAACTTTTAGTTGTTTCTGTTGAACAAAATTCAGCACAAATCAAATCTGTTTGCTCCAGTATCTGTACTTTTATTTAAGAAACAAAACTGAGTACTTCATCCACCACTGGATCTGATATATATATCCCATCCCTAGACTGAACAACTATAGTATATATATATATATATATATATATATATATATATATATATATATATATATATACACTATCCAGCCTGATCTATTTATTTATCCATTAGTCTGGCATAAACTGTCCATTTTGTCAGACAGATTCTGAAAACGCAATCCTGTACCATCACACTTGAGCTGTGAATCTTCACACATTCCCACATAGGCCTACCCAGAGTCCTTATTCAGAAATCCTATATACCAGTGCCAAACATAGTAGAGATTAGAACCAAGGTTATCATTTGATTTATAAACTTTTCACGTTTAGATGTTCTATTCAAACAAGTGTGAGAGCTATGAATGGGGTGACAGAGTTATAACATATAGTAACAGACCATGTGCATAAAGTTCACTATGCTGTTCCAACTCTTTTCAAACAACAAAACCAATACTACCAATAATACAATCAACTACAAAACAGGGATAATATCTCAAGGCTGTAAAACGATCCGCAACTAAAGACTTCACCTTTACCTCATGAGCAGCACCAATACTTAACACATGCACAGAATAATGGACCCATTTACCAATAAATCATTTACATTTGAGCCTAAAGCTATTTTGTAATCCAGCAGCAGTATTACAGAATATGTTTTCTGGTTCAGAGAGAAGGCATGAGGAATTGAAGGTAATCTAGAGAATCTAATACTGTCCTAGAGGGAAACATGTTTGTGAATTGCTTTAGCATAAGTGAGATTTCACAGAGTCCCAAATGCAATTGAAGTCTTTTCATTTAATTATGTTTGAATGAGACCGCCTCTATCTAGTGGCCACATCTTAACTGCATGGTGAAGGATTATAGCAAACTACTTATTGAGATATAGAAACATATACAGCCCTTTGTTATGAAAACTCTTTTATTATGCTATTAATGCTCCAACATAAAGTTTATTAGTTTGTTAACGTGAGGTGAAATTGTACTGCTGACTGTAGCACCCAGGAATCCATCTCCAGAGGTGCTGAGCTAGTACGAGTCAGGGTTACTTTAGCTGGGGAACTGCCCTTGTACATGTTTTAGGTTGACAAGGACCAGGACCTTCTAGTCATGAGGAGAGCTTGCCAATCCCCCTTGGTGTCACCACAAGTATGCACAGGTGAGTGAACAGATTATGAGGACTCCATTTAGACTTTAGTGTGGGACCTATATTTGCTTAAATGTACAGGACATACATGAGCTTTGTCTGGGCAGCATGTAAAAATCAGACAATGGATTTAAACTGATTTTTTTTTTGTTTCTTTACAAAACATCTTTGATAATCAATTTTCCCGTAAAGTTTTGAAAGAATTCAGTGGTTGGTTTCACTGGCCAGCGTAGAGCCACCCTACTCAATGATGAATAACATTACATTTTAGAATGCTTCTTTGACTTTTAGCATGCAAATGCTTATCAAATAAAATCCTACTTGAAGAAAAATAAGATAAAAAGCTAATAAAACACTAATACTGTCTGGTGTTGACTGCTCATGGCCGTTTTGACAACATAGTCACAGCATAGGCTCATTTTGCGGTTCTTGACAAACTCCTTGCTTATTTTAGAAGAGCCAGTCTTCTTTGGGAATAAGACAAACTGTCAAAGTGCACCTGTGGACAGTAGTTTTCATAGAGTGTGAAAATATCTATTTAGAAAAAATACCTCTATATGGCTCAAAGCTCCCAAAATATCTCCAACAGTCCTTTCCCATTTAAGCAGAACCATCTATTTGTGACATTTTACTGTGCGACTGACTGAAATATTGCCATGTTAAAGATTTAACACTGACTGATTCCACCTGACATTTAGTTGACATTTTCAAATGAAAATGAATGGCAGGCACTGTAAACGCGCAAACGTGGCCTTGCAATGTGGAGGCAATCCAATTGTTCCTTAGTCGGGCAAAACAAATCCAGTACACGCAACTACATCAAGCAAACGAATCCAAACCAGGTCAGAGCTTCACAGTGCAGTCCTTCTCTATATAGCACAGAATAGCAGTCCAGGGAGTATATTTTTGACCATAAACAACACACGTATGTGAGTAGACCCTGGCAGTTCAGCCCAAAGACAAGAATATGGGCCAAATAAAACTGCACCAGGCTGGCACAGCACGATAACTGCTAACACCGAGCAAAGCTAACGAAAGCTAAAGGGGCAACAGAGTCAGTGCCAGCCTGGCTGCTAAAACACGCAGCTTACAGCAAACATAATGACATGTATAAAGGTGAAAGACTCAACATGGGGAATGCATAACACAGGTACACAATACAGCTGAAAGAGCTGGCACAAGTTTAGGTTTGGCTGCTTAAGTTTATTTTGTTTTTTTGCCTTTTTTTTTCTTTCTTGCTTTAATCATGTATAACTGTGGCAGATTTTTCACTAATTGGTTCTGAATTTTAATGATTATTTTAATTTCTTCCTTTTGCAAAACTACAACTACTACTACATCATAAGTATTCACTTGCTTCCAAACACCTTTTTAAGAAATAGAAGAGTAGGGTGGACGCCCTCATCACAAAACATTTTTTAATGACATACCATCCCTTTTATCAAAAACACCTGTCTTAAAAAACTTGAATGGCCCAAAGTTATTCCTCACTTAATTATGCAAAAAACTTTTTGGACCATGTTATAACAGTGCTCCTTAATCAAAACATGCCTGAAGAGGCTTTATATGTCAGCCATGCATGTTTCAGTAATTAAGCAATCTCTCCTGGGGCCTATTCAGACCCTTCTTAGCTCTAGGTTAGCTCTATGATTGTGTACAATGCGCAGCCCGCAAGCTTACATCACCCATGCTGCCACATGACAATTCTCCATAAATTATATTAAACAAACCTGATGTGATGTGCAGTAGTTTCAATAGCGGGTTGCACGCTGATTGTGTTGTGACGTCACTCTTAAAGAGCTGAAAAAGGAGGAGGAACTCAGAGGATCCAAAAAAAATAAAAATAAATAAAAAAAAACTTATAAAACATGTAATACATATAATAAAAACATAATACACTGTTTTCTTATATATTGCATTTTCAAAACAATAAA